TCTGTATATAAGTCTGTATATAAGTCTAAGTGCTATTGCTATTATAGAAGCATACAATGGACTTTAGCTGACTGTGATCTGCAGTTCGGCGGTTCAAATCTCACCGGCTCAAGGTTGACTCAGCCTTCCGTCCTTCCGAGGTGGGTGAAATGAGGACCCGGATTGTTGTTGGGAGCAATATGCTGACTCTGTAAACCGCTTAGAGAGGGCTGAAAGCCCTATGAAGCGGTATATAAGTCTAACTGCTATTGCTATCTCACCGGCTCAAGGTTGACTCAGCCTTCCGTCCTTCCGAGGTGGGTGAAATGAGGACCCGGATTGTTGTTGGGAGCGATATGCTGACTCTGTAAACCGCTTAGAGAGGGCTGAAAGCCCTATGAAGTGGTATATAAGTCTAACTGCTATTGCTATCTCACCGGCTCAAGGTTGACTCAGCCTTCCGTCCTTCCGAGGTGGGTGAAATGAGGACCCGGATTGTTGTTGGGAGCGATATGCTGACTCTGTAAACCGCTTAGAGAGGGCTGAAAGCCCTATGAAGCGGTATATAAGTCTAACTGCTATTGCTATTGCTTTTTGGCCAAGCAACCATATAGATAGATCTTCTCCACGATGATTCATCACTAACCTGGTCTTTCAAGTCTTCCAGTGTACAGCCATTGTCACTTTAATAAACTATATAAACTTTAATAAAATTGCCTATGAGACATTGTTGGCTCTCATTCCCTAAGATCATTGATTTTGTACCACTTTACGTTAAAAAGTGGAATGCCTAACAAATGCAGTAGAGTGAACCATCTGGAGGGATGCTTTTAGAAGCTACCCAAGTCCATTTGGGAGGTTAGATGCAATGCATTTTCTCAAAGGAGTTGTGTTGCCATGTCAGCATTAACATGCATGTGCTGTGACAAGGACTTTTTGCTGCCACTGCCACCACAGCGGAGTTATGATCTGTTCAAAACAAAGAAACCCTTTCAGGTTTGAGGGGTTCACTTCCTTCCATTTTTCATTTCGATTTTGAGACATCTTTAATTTGACATCTTTAAAGAAAGATATTGTGCAAATCCAATTTATCCATAAAAAAAAAATTTCTGGCACAATACTAGTTATATGTCTTTGAAATTATACATGGGAGTGATTTTGGAATTAGGAAAGAATTTGGTGGGTTCACATTCAATGTAATGGTTTCAAGGGGATATTTGTAGCCAAGAAGTTGAAGCTTTCTCAAGGGAAGCCAAAATGTCCTCCAGCTACCAAAGCACCTAAAATTCGACATTTTTTACATTGTTTAAAACCATCTATTATTTATGTTCACGTTGGCTGAAACTGAAACTCAGTGCAATTTTTGAAAAAGTACATTTCCCCCCCATATGCTAACAAATTTCAAGTATCTAAGCTCTGTTGTAAACAATCTTGATTTTAAGATATATTGAAAGGTGAAGAAGCAACAAAGAAATGGTTTTGTTTCTTTGACCATATAATCAAGTGAATATAGCATACAAAATCCTTATCTTACTAAAATCAACAAGTCAAACTACATCTGATACTAATATTAGAACTATATAAACTATAATAGTGTGGGTTAAAACAGGGTGGTTTATGGAAAGGAATGGCAGTATCCTTAATATATGTGCCCCAGTGCTGGGAATTATTTATTGAAGAGAGAGATCTTCACCTTTAAGTTAAGTTAAATATATAGTGAGAGAGCTGACTAACTTAAAATGATCTAAGCAACAACTCAAATAAACAATACACAAAGACAGAGGGACAAATGAGAGTAGAAATGTATTAAAGGTGAGAATTCACCGTCGAGTAATACCATTAGACCACAACGTTGGAAAAACTTGAAAAGCTGATAGGTAATCCGTTATAAATACCTGCATGGAATTAGCAACCTAGTCTCATACTAGGTAAGGCGAGATGAGCTATGGGAGATGAAAATATGTAAAGAGCTTTATCTATTTTTGTATCTTGTATTTTGTAAATCTTGCCTTTTTTTACATAACTTTCAAATAAGGAAAAAAAAAAAAGAGAACCAGGTCATCCCCTGAAGAAGAGAATATGTAAACACAACAACGGATAGAGTGGATGGAGGGAGGAGTAGAAGGAAAGATAGGAAGGAGAGGAGAAAGGAGAGGAATAGGAG